TTACTATATGTCCCAGATAAGAAAGTTGTGGATACAGCATTCAAATAATTCACTGTTATGTACCAACTTCTTTTTTAGATGATGAAGATGTAAAATAACTTTATAAAGACATTACAAGAGCCAGAAACTTAGTGAAAACATATTACGTAATAATTACTGGAGATTTCAACGCTAAAATAGGAAAGAACGAAAATAACAACTAAAACTAGTATATTTCGTATAACGTCTGAAACGGTAAAAAATTGGCGGCAACATCGTTGTAAAAGTTGTGAAAATTTGTTAAATAAGTATCTGACAGAAAAAATGAGTAGCTATTCTGTGGTAAAACGCCAAAATACTATTTTTACACAAAAAAGGAGACACTACTAATATTTAAAACTACCTATAAGTTTGTTGTCACACTTATACAAATCGCTAACAAGAATAATAACCAACAGCTTGAACAGGCAAGTTTTAGAAAAGGGTTTGGTACAAACGATCACTTACAAACCACCAGAACACTGGTCGAAAAAAAAACACATATATAGTGTACTTCTACACATGGCATTTATTGACTTCAGAAGGCTTTCGGTAGTATTAAAACTTGGTCCTTTTGTCAGTCCTGGGGGATGCTCGAATAGATTCACGGTACACTGCACTTATTAAAAACATTTATAAACAGGCCATATTCTACATCAAAATCCATGAAGACGAAAAAACTGAAAAATGCGTCTTGGTAAAGGTATTAAGTGATAATTTCTCCAAAGCTTTTTACCGTAGCATAGAAAATGTATTCAAACAGCTCGACTGGAAGCAAAAAGGTCTAAATATTGATGGTGTACGTTTGAGTCATTTGAGGTTTGTGGACGATATAGTAGTGATATATGTATAGTGCAGATATCAAGGAACTGGAGCAAATGCTCAAGTAATTAAATCAGCAGTCCAATAAAATAGGTCTTAAAATGAATCTTCAGAAAACAAAAATAATGAGTACTTTACAAACTAATATTGTGATTGAAAACGTCAGTCTTAAAAATATAGACCACTATAATATATCTTGACCATACCGTTAAAATCGACAGAGAAAACCCAATAGCCGAAATAAAAAGACGCATTCAATTGTCTAGGGTAGCTTTTGGCAAGTTAAGCTTTATCTTGAATAATAAAGATATATCAATGTATCTAAAACGTAAGTTTATGACAAATGTATCTTGCCAGTAACTACATATGGACTGGAAACCATGACCTTTACAAAGAAAACCTTAGAGAAACTTAGTACAATCCTAAGAGTGATGAGATGCCATGCTAGGGATTAGTTTGAAAAACAGGATATCGACATTCGGGAAAGAACAAAGATTACTGATGTCGCAGAACGTATAGCAAGGCTAAAGTGACAATGGGTCGGACATGTTGGCTGAGATAATTTCGAAAAATGGACACAGAGATTAACAAACTGGAGACTAAGAGGGAACAGGCAAGGAGTAGGCAGACCACAGAAGAGGTAGGCAGATGATATTAAACAAGTCGCAGGCAAGCAGTGGATGAGAATTGCCAAGGGTAGAAATCAATGAAAGCAAGGGAAAGAGGCTTATGTCCAGCAGTGGACGAATACAGGCTGAAGAAGAAGATAGTCATATATTAGCTAAGGATGTACGAACTACAAGAGAGATGGTACAGGAACTCGTTATGACTACAGAAAATGTAGGTTTAAATATAAATATCTCGAAAACAAAAATATTGACAAATTTGGTACACAACCAGAACATCAGTATTGAAGGGCGAAAAATACAACTGGTAGATAAATATTAATACCTAGGATATAAAATTATGATTTGCAGGATAATCAAACCCATAAGAACGTCTTGGGGGGGGGGGCAGAATACGGAACACTGAGAGAAGATTTTAAAAGTGAACTGCCCATATACCTGAGGAGAAAAATATTTAATCAATGCGTCCTCTCACCTTTATTATACGGAGCAGAAACACTTGCACACAACTTATACAAAAATATGTATAAATACTTATACTAAACTGAGAGTCACACACAGAAGAATAAAGCAATACATGTTAGGTATAACACAAGAAAATAGAGATGGACAGGACACACAGGCCAAAATATTAAATGGGTGATAGACAAAGAGGTTATTGGAATAGGGACAAAAAAAGACAAGAGAAGTGTTGATCGACCACCTGCACGATGGGCTGATGACTAAAAAGGAAAAATAATAACTGGATTAGAGCGATGCAAGATAGACGGGGTTGGAAACATGAGAAAGAGGCCAATGTTTAGCAGTGGATATTTAACGCTATGTGATAATAATTTACTAGTAATAAAATCCAATTGAGGGTACTATATTTTTCTTATCCTTATTGTGTCCCTCATATCAGGGGTTTATTCATCTTATTTACCGTTGATTTAAAGAGCTCATTTATGGTGCAGTAAAACTATTCTCTCAAATTTTGCTTGTATGCCGTTCTTATACAACCAGGATAACTTATTTTCTTTCATTTTACTCTGCATTATATCTTGCAGTAGTAAGTATTCTTTTAGTTTCATAAGTTTTTTTATACTTGTTTATTTACAGTTTAAATCATTACGCAGTAATAAGTATATGTATCTCAAGTAAGCGTTAAGAAGAGACATCTAAGGATGCATCACCTTATTCTCTTTTGGTTTAGTTTTAAAGTAGGTCTTGGGGCCAGGTTCTATCTAGTCTTCTTGTGGCTGCACCGTTGTTGAATAATTACCGTACTGGCTCATTTTTATGATAAATGGTACGTTTATTTTGTGGCTTGATGGATTTCTTCTCTAATAAAAGTAATTTTAAGTCATAGTGAAGTGTTTGATGACTTACATACCATGGTGCATCCACTATCGATATTAGCACTTTAGACTGGAATCTTTAAATGATATTTAGCGACGTTGGTTTTGCACAGCCCCATAAGTGTAGTTCGTAGAACCAGATACGTTTGATTATGGCTGTGTATAGAAGAATTTTGTTTTGGGTGTTAATTTTTAATTTACGTCCAAGGAGCTAATATATTAATCATAATTTTAAGTCAAGCTATCTTCGTTTGGTCTGAATGTATTTCTTTCAAGTGAGACGTTGGTCAAGATGAATTGCAAGGTTTATGGCATCTGTTATTATTGGTATTTTTACATTTTTTATTTTTACAAGTATGCTTGTGTTGTGGCGGTTGGTTAGGTAATAATATTTGAGCTGATTTTGTTTTGTTTACTTTTGTTCTTCATTTTGTATATCAATAACAAAGTAGGTCAAGACGATTTTGCAGGATTTGTAAAGCTTGTGTGAGATCTATATTCACAGCAACTATTGCTATATCGCCATTAAAGAAAGAGACTTTAGTATTATTAGTCTCTGGCATATCAGTTGTGTAGAGTGAAAAAACAGAGGCCGTAAAACACTAACCTGGGGGACTCCAAAGTTGATAGGACAAAGGAGAAAATATGTACTCAATAGTGCTATTTTTACTTTGGTAAGCAAACCCCTGTGCCAGACTTATGTCTGACTCTGTCAAACGCTTATGAGATGTCTAGGAATATAGCGTTGCAGTATTTATTTTCTTCAAGACTCTTTGATATTTCATTTATCATTCGATGGACTTGTTGGTACATATTTTCACGTTGAGAACCCCTATGAATAGCTCTTCTGACGAGACCTATTAGGTCGAAATACGTATCAAGAGATACATAGGATTTGTTTACGTGAAATCAAATATTTGCTGCCTTTTCTCATTTTATTCGGATTTACTCTGTGGGAGTACTAGAATCACAATTCGCTAAGGATTTCTGCTTAGTAGTAAAAGACATGTCGTGGAATGCAAATTTTAGATTCCCCATGTCTCTTTTAACATCTTTTATCAACGTCTGTTTGCCTTGCAATTCTTAGAATGCTCAGATTATAAAGCAGAAATCTGAATTGTGTTTCGAAACTATTTTACGATTGTTTAATTAGATGTCGCTACTGCGTCCGTATTGAAGCCATGTTATTGTTGCTTCTTAAAAGGCAGAAAATATTGATTTTTCACATTGAGAACCCCTATGAATAGCTCTTCTGACGAGACCTATTAGGTCGAAATACGTATCAAGAGATACATAGCATTTGTTTACGTGAAATCAAATATTTGCTGCCTTTTCTCATTTTATTCGGATTTACTCTGTGGGAGTACTAGAAACACAATTCGCTAAGGATTTCTGCTTAGATGTAAAAGACATGTCGTGGAATGCAAATTTTAGATTCCCCATGTCTCTTTTAATATCTGTTATCAACGTCTGTTTGCCTTGCAATTCTTAGAAGGCTCAGATTATAAAGCAAAAATCTGAATTGTGTTTCGAAACTATTTTACGATTGGTTAAAAATTTATGTTTTGCGTATATCCTTTGTAGCAGAAATCTTTTAAAAACTTTGCTAACCGTTGGGATTAGACTGATGGGTCGATGAGATGTTACATTATTCAGTTCTTTTCCTCTCTTAAGGATTCAATGATTTTAGCGAATTTCCATATTTTTGAAATGTTAAGCTTAGCATGCGGTTAAATATAATTGATAGCAAAGTAATGGTCTTGCGAACAAGTTGTTTTAGTGATTTTGTTAAAATTAAATTATAACCTGTGGCGTTTTGTAAGTTGAGTTTGTTAATTTCTTTCTTGACTTCTATAGAAATAAAATTTTTAATCGGGAGGTATATTTAATATGCTGCACTAATTAGTTCTTCCACTTTTTTATCGGGGTCTGCTGGTTCTATTTGAAATTCGGTTGTAAGATGTGCAGCAAAGATGTTCGCTTTTTCTTTGTTGGAACAGGCTCATTTGCCATTTAGTTTACGGATGGGAGAGATAGTTGTGCATGTTTTCTTACGCTTCTTATTAGCCTTTCATAACGTCTGGTCATTTGCTGAAACACACACCAAACAGAACAGACACCAAAAATAAGTTTCCCAACCAGTATTCATAATTTATTGGAACAAATAGATAAACATTTCAATTTAAACTAGATATTAAAATAATTCTTTTTATTCGTAATACACAATCTTAACAATATTTAAAACATTTTAAATTTTTAAATAAATAAATCACAATGTCATATATATTAAGGAATAAAAATATAATCTACAGCTTACTCAAAATTGGAAAAGGTATTAAATTTTTTTGAAGATCAACATGTTATTGAGGCCACCATTTATAAGGTTATAAAAGTGAAGAGTACTAACGAAACGGCATTATGCTGAAGACAATATCAACGGTAATGCAAGAATGACTTAAATGATCGGTTGTTCATTCATGAATTACATAATTACGAACTTAACTGCATTAACTCTGATAATATCTATTGTATGACAGAGATAAATGGTCAGAAATGAAGAACGACTACGTAAGGGAAGCTGTACCATAATCGGTAGAAACCAACACGCTGAGAATGAAGAAATAGAAAATTTTGTTAGAATAATATTTAACGGTCACTATTGGAAATAATAGCTGGGGAACAAAAGGATGTACACAGAGAAAGTAAACTTCAAATATGTCATTTCCTCAGCCACGGTAATTTCTACGTATATTTTACCATAATTTTTTTAGAAGCATTTAAAAAGCAAGCCCTAGACTGAAACAAAGCCAGTGATACTAAAATTACATTTGTTACAGTTTTTCTCAAATTATATGTTCTATAAATTCAAACAGACGAACTAAATGTCTTAATATTACAATAAACCGTAATCTCAAGTGCCCTTCAAAAGTTTTTCACGTGCCTCTTTTCTAATTAATTACAACATGTAACTAACTGATCCTTTATTCATTGGAAATATCGTTTTTAAGGTCGTATATAAATATTGGCAAAGTCGGTCTTTTCTGAATCCAATCTTTTAAACTGTTTATTGATAGGAGATTTTTCTTCACCTCTTGAAGATTTGGATAATCATTTATAACATCTGTATTTTCCAAAATATTTCGGATGTCTTCGTAAGCACATAGGAATATTATATCAGCAAAAGTTACCTGGAAGAAAAAAATTTATAATCTTAAAACAATTTGGTTAGTTAAATTTAATTTGCTTAGTCAAGCCTAATTGTGGATAGTTTTTAAAAAATACAGAATTAGGCGATTTCATATGAAAGTAACATAAAACTTCAAGTGACGGGGCACCGGGTAGGTCGAAGATTATCGCCCTCATAATATTAGTGTTCAGTGACTCGAAAACCCCCAAGTAATGACTTGCGAGTAATTTGGAATGAAAATTAAATAAAACTCCAGAAGACGAGGTCCCTCCTGGACACCAGGTTTCTTGAGGATTGCATGTAGCTGACCCTTGACTAACTCATGTACAGTACGGAATCCTCTTAGGACTCTGAGATGATTCTTGCTTATTTTCTGCAGTACTTCAGTGCTATTAGCACTTGCTCGTCCAATATATATTCTGTCGGATATGCTTGACCAGGTATATTTTCAATGTTATATACTACGGTCGACTCTACACCGAATACCGACTCTTCATTGCCGTGTATTCTCATATGATCGGACACCCACACCAGTGTCACTTTGTTGGCCACATTAGACTACAGTTAACCTTAGGATTTCTAGGAACCCCATAGCCTTTTGACTATTTGTAGATATAAGAATCTGCTTCTGTTTGAGAGCTTTCATATTAGTTTCACTTGAGCAAAGCAGGGTTGAACAAATCTCTGCCTGAGAGGGTTGCACAAATACAGAGATCTATTCTCCTGGTGAAATATTAATATTTCTATCCGAATGAATATGAATATTTTTTAAATATTTCTGCACTTAACTTTTTGAGTTTTACAAGTCTATGTACCAGCTATAACCCTTTAGCTTGGGCTGTGTATTTTCTTTGCCCATTCCTTCTATAGGCAGATATCCATTTAAAAAGTTACTTCGGGCATATATCTGGATAATATAAAGTACCATCTTCCATTTTTTTTACCTTCTATCTCATTTATTATTATACTGTGTCCTGATCCAATCATTACGTTGCTCAGGTTTTTCGCAGTCTATATTATCCCATTCTCGCTTCCTCTTTTCCTTATTTTCGTAATGGCACATTTTGCTGTTGTGATAGTTAAGGTTTAGAGGATCTAATCTCTCTTATTTTCTTGTTTTAGTTAATTTCATAATCTTGGTTTCCTGGATGCTTTTGTTAAATCCTACATTTAAAATCCACTTTGTAACTATAGCTAAATCCTGTTGCAGTCTATCGTCTAAGTAATAATAAATTTGTCTTGGTTTAATAAGACTTGGTCATTCGCTCAGCTCAGGACTCAATATATATCGTTGCTGAATCTAACAATTAGCCTTCGCCCATAATCATATTTTACAAGAGAAAAAATCGAATTTCCTTTACTGGGAGCCTCTGACTGCTTGTTCTGGCACTCTATCCCTCAGTAACATGGCGTAATATATTTCCTGTTTAATATGACACAGTTTATGATTGGCTTTAACTCATGGATTTCCTATGTCAACGTATATTTATGAATATTTTTGTGTTGAAAAGATTTGTTTATAATGCTTATAAATTCGTTTATTAACATTTCTGCATTAAGCCTTTACCAAATCTCTTTATGATAGAAATAAGCAAATCTGAATATATGGTAATTACAAAGAAACATACCAACAACATCAACCTGTACGTAAACAATAAACGAATGTAAAAGTACAAGACAAAATACTTTTACCAACTGGAGGAATTTTGAGATGTGAGCATACTCAAGGATCTTAAAAATTTCTTGAAAAAATAAAATATTCTAGAAAATATTTCAAATAATAAACAAACACAAAGAAATGAAATTGTCAATTAAAAAACTACAATATCTGGTACGTATATATATCCGGTTTTTTAGGCGTTACGCCCGTCCGGTAGGGATCTATGGAGGAGTATCACCGAGCCGCAAGCCCTTATCTCTTGCCGTACTGCTCCACCATAGGCCGATCAGAACCCAGCATATCCTAGTCTAAGCCGCAGATTCATCTAGAATTTTAAACTGCTGCGTTAGACTATTTGTTTTCTGTACACCGAGCTTGGGCTCGACCCACATCCACTAAACCATTCGACAGTGAAGCGAATGAGAGGCAGCCGCACAGCCCGCTGAGCTATCTAACCGAGGTTATCTCAAAAAATCCAAATGCTGCAGTTTGTTGGTAACTGTTTTATCCACCGTATTATCTTATACGTTTAAATAAGATTAAACATAATTAACATCATAATAAAACCATTTATGCCAAAAAGGCATATTAATAATAAATTATTACAAACTAGAGACATAAGCCGATATTAATAAGCATCTTGTCACTTTAGATTAGAAAAACTTTCAGAAACGAACAAATTGACGTTTTGTAAATAAAACATCGTTATAAATATTTATTAATTTAAAAATAAAATATAGCTCAATAAAATAAATAATATGGCTTACCCTATCAAGTGCAATATAGCCTTGATTTCTAATTGCATTTTCCTCTAAAACCGTAAATATGATCGGCATAAGTTCCAGCAGTCGCTCCTTAACTTTCTCTTTTCTTGTTTCATCGGTTTCAAATCGATATTCATATGCAGCTAAAACATTAATTTAAACATATATATATATATATATATATAATATATATATATATATATATATATATATACATATATATATATATACATATATATACATATGTTCAGAAAGATTTCCGCGGTTAGTACAATAAAAACTATAGCTAAGATTAATAAATATTATTACTACAGTAGTGACAGTGCCATGAATAGCGAACAGTGTAGTAGTGTCTGCAAAGCTTGGTAAAATGGACATCGACGCGGTTCAACCCGGAAGACTGGTGAGTTTGATATTAATTTTAGTAATAATATTAATCTTAGCTCTAGTTTATATATATATATATATATATATATATATATATATATATATATATATATATATATATATATACATTTGGAATTTTAAATCCGGAACATAGGATTTTTAATACAAATACTAAGATTCTCTGCGTTACAATTAACCAGTGTAAATTTCTTTATAACGTCGCGATGTTTTATAGCTAATTTATTTGTTCCACTGGATTACTTCTCCTCAGCGGATTGTAGTAGCGTATGGCACACCAACAGTATTGCTCCGTTTACCGATTTTTCCTGAAAGTCCGGTTTTGTGCAGATAATAAATAATGTTTTATTAATATCAATGTTGTTTGTGTTCATTAGGTATTATCTGAGTTATAAAATTTATACTTAAATACATTTATAATTCCAAATATTGTTTATAATTTCAAATTAAAAAGGGTGTAATATAATTATTTTATTTTTAAAATTTATTTTTATTTTTAATTTCAGAAATCAACTTTCTTTCAAGCCGTTTTGGCAATAAAACATAACCATTTTTTTAGTTATCAAATATTTTAATATCTACATTTTATAAATAAGTACGTTTTCGTTGAATTGACATGCGTTCTAGGTGTGTTCCGTTTTTACACTTACATTGGCAGCATCGCGTCGTGAACTGAGACTCCAGTCGAACAAATGAATTAATTATAAAACATCGCGACGTTGTATTGAAATTTACACTGGTTAATTGCACATCAAAGGATTTGAGCTGTATTAAAAATCCTATGTTCCGTAATTTTTTTTCCTAATCTGTATATATATATATATATATATATATATATATATATATATATATTGATATATATATATATATATATATATATATATATTATATATATATATATATATCAATATATTGCTATGATGTTTTGTTTGTATATGAGCAATGAATAATATAGGGTATATACGAATAAGTATAGGGTTTTTATCGCGGTTCTAAAGAATTAGTTTGTAAGTACTTTTTTTAAATTATCTTTATTATAATTATTCTGAAACACACACACATATATATATATATATATATATATATATCTAATATCGACAATATAAATTTAGAACAACCTATCTTAAAATTGAAATTCTTACAATAATTAAATAATATTAACAAAATTTGGTACCTTTCTATCACGAATGGCTAAATGAAACTGTTTTCCAAAATAAAGGGTTTAATCACCACTCAATGTCTTCGTTTTCAGCCTCGATTGTCCTTGTTTTTGTGAAATTACTTTTTCCAAATTCACACAATGTTTTAATTATCAGCTTCCACCAATTTAAAATATTTTTCTTCTTGATAGCATTTATGTCTATTCTTCTTGTTAATACACCAATCTCCAATCACCATATAACTATTATAATTTTAATTTCTTCTAATCTCCAATCACCATATAACTATTATAATTTTAATTTCTTCTAATCTCCAATCACCATATACATACTGTACTGTATAATTAATACTCTAATACTGATCATTGTTTACTATATACTATGAACTGCTTGTACTGATCGACTGACTGACTAACTTCTTAATGAATTTACTAACTAACTGTCTCACTGTCCAACTGTAACTGTTTAACTCTAACTAACTTTACTCTCATACTGTCTAACTCCAACTGTCTAACTCTAACTGTTTAACTATAACTAACTTTACTCTCATACTGTCTAACTACAACTGTCCAACTTCTTAATTAACTAACTCCATACTGTCCAATTAATGAAATTCCTACTGTTTTTTATATTAATACACTAATACTGACCATACTGACTAATGAGTAATTAACTAATAATCAATAATCTCATAATGAACTCTCCTCTCTCCTCCAAATTACCGAGTATTTATATCATTTTAATGTTCCAGAATCATCTTGAAATAAATCATATTCGAAATTGTTCTATTTCCTAAATATATGAATGTTCTCGAATAGTCTACCTCGCTAATAGGGTTAACTTCCTTATATTGACGTGTTTGAGAGAATTCTTTACCCTTCTATCGAGAATGTCATGGACATTAAGGATTTTCAGATTAGAATGTAAACTTATATGTAAATTAAACACCTTAAATTATTACATAACACTATTTTACATCCGTAATTATATGTAAATTAAACATCTTAAATTAATAAATAACCCTATTTTACATCCGTAATTATTATTCAACTGTCACTTATTCAGTGTATATTTGGTTGCCCATGCACATGGCTTACTTAAATATATCATAATTATTAAAACAAAACTTTTTACAAGTATTATATGCTAATTTCTTAAGAATACCCTTATATAAATAATTTTTATAATATTCTTGTATATAACTTATAAATTATTTCTTTAATCACTATTTAAGTTTATTAATTAAAAATTATAATATTATTATGCTAATCTCTTCTATATTTATCATTAGCTTATATTATATATGTATATATATATATATATATATATATATATATATATATATTATACTAATGCAAAACATCAGATTCTATTTATTTGTCACCGTCGTTATTCCGACATATTCGAGTTGTCAGACGCATGGAATGATCTATATTGATCATCAGACAATTTTATTTTCGTGTTTTTCTTATATTCTTTTATATTTTATAAGGTAAATGTCATAAAATCGGTATAGTTTGGGAGAAATCGAAAAACTGACCGAGAACCAAAAAAAAGTCGCAGAGGTAAACCAGGTCAGAGTCGCCCTAATGAAGCGGTACTCAAAGTTTGGAGGGAGTATATATCCTAAACATTAGCTGATTACAGGCACTCTTACTATAGTGTCATGCCTTGCCAAGTTTCATCCTAAACAGAATGAGAAGAAGAGCTATAAATACTCCAGGTAGCTCTGTGAGATACACCTTCAGTACATAGTAAGAGCGTAAGATTCTCCTGTATACCTACAAAATTTACATCAGACCATTTATTGAATACAGGGATGTTCTTTAATCTGCATTAAACAACCGCCAAATAAATGCCATCATGACCACAGAAAGCAAAATAATTAGAAAGATCAAATAGGAAACATGCAGACTATCCGTCGTCGTTATTTAACCAATTTTCAAATATTACATTACACACAAGCTCCAACATTAAAGCAAAGGAGGTCCCAAAAACATCTTGCCACCACCTGGGACACATACTCACCAGATATCCTGTAAATAAAGTTCCCTTTCTCCCAGCCACTTCTTAATTTGGCTGAAAACGAACTTTCTGATGACTATTGCAACACCCCTGAAGCGATGCGAGTAAGATATTGCAGATTCTAACAATCTGCAAGCAAAAAACGCTCAAATGAAAGAGCCGTACCCAAATACATAGCTGGTAACATGCGAAGGTACCCCTCAGTGCGGTATAGCTGACAACCTTTCTTATTCACACTCATACTGACTGCTTCTTAGCAAACGACTCGTCTTCCCAATCTCTTCCTTCACTAACACAAAACTGCTTTTACAGACTAGCGTCTGCTCTTTTTACACTATCCCTGGCAAGGAAGCCCACACCTTGAAGAGGTGCTCTGCCTAAACAAGTTTTAAACAACCTTACACTCACTCACTTGCCAAATAAAATATTATGCAGTTAAATATACTGTTATCTTTTTAACATTATTGCTGAGGATTTCTTAACTATATGTTCTTGTGCATTGAAGAATATTATATTATATAATAAATGGCGTCTCTTAACATTATAGACCTTTCTTACGCTCTATCTTTCCTCTTAGTATTTCTTGCGAAAAAGTGTGTCGGTGCCTTTGTATTGTATGCTTCAAGTATGCAATCTTATTGCTTTTGATATATTTTAAAAGTTCTTTACCTTCCAGGCAATATTAACCCAATTATTTGTCTATATATCATCAGTGTTAATTAGGGCTATCAATATTAAGTGATAATAAAACAATATAAAAAAAAATTAAATTTGACTGTAGGACTTACTTTTTAACACATCGCCAATCATTTCAGCTGCAACATCGATTTCCAAATTTTCCTCGTTGTTATTTCCTGCAAGTCCAACAATATTAGCTAAATATCTACATATTGGACCCGTTTGAGTTATGCTTTTGTCATTTATATGCAAGACTGGCATTTGACCAAGAGGAGTTGCTAAAAAATAAAAGAATATTTATATAAACATAGTTTATGAAGCGAACAAGTTTGCGATTTTTAATGCTGATTAAAAATCAATGCAATTTTTTTATCTTAGAAATAGTTCTACCACTTCAGGTTCGTTAAATGTACACTATACATACATAAACACTGCATTAAAAACATTTTTTTACAAAACCATTTTGTATAACGAATATTGGGATCAAAAGATTATTACCTGCTGCTACTATATTTTTGTTGACTAAACGTTTTATATTTTAGAAGAACAAGAAATTCAAAGAAGAATAATAAAGTCAAACAAAGCTTACTTTTCACTCAACCATGTGTTCCGCTTCGAAAACACACACTGAAGATCGATAATCAAGGTCTACAAAACAGAAAACATAAATGCTGGTAGTCATGAACACAAAAGTCTCAAAAAATATATTTGGACTTATTAACGAAAACGGCGTATGGAGATCCAGGTACAACCATCAACTCTATCAATTGTTTAAAGGGGCACCGATCTCAGAATTCGTTTAACTTTAGAGACTTCGATGTGCTAGTCATGCAGTGACACTGGAGACCAAAAGATTACCTAAAATATTCTTATATAGTAAAATGCAGGGTGCAAGACCAAAAGGAAGGCCACGGAAAAGAGAGAGGATGAAGTGACGGTGAACGCGTAAAATTTGCTCTAGACATGAGAACCTAAAGAAGATTGACTTGGGACCAGCAAGGTTGGCTTAGTTTGGAGCAGACCAAGGCTCGATTTTTTTTATTATTATCGAGTTAATGCCTCGACAACTAAGATCATTGGCATGGTACAGTCAGGTACCTAGTGTAGTGTGTGTGTGTGTGTGTGTGTGTGTGTGTGTGTGTGTGTGTGTGTGTGTGTGTGTGTGTGTGTGTGTGTGTGTGTAGAGTAATTGTCTTGATACTTAGCAAAGTCGACGTCATTGTCTTTGCTAAGAGACGCTATTCTATCCGAACGTCTGCGGTCCCTCCGGTGTGTACCGATCGCACAAGGATAGAAATTATTTTCATTCATTAATTTTTAATAAACGAAAATTTCTCCACCCAGATGAGATTCGAACTCACGACCTTTAGGTTTAAAGGTAGGCGCTCTTACCACTGAGCCACAGAGGGGGTTCAAGGCTCGATTTGAGTTGTAGCAAAATTGGATAAAGAGAAAGGTTTTAGCACTTACGTTACATGTATCAAAGATTAAACTAAATTTTGCCATACACATGTATATCTTTTACGCATTTTATAGTTTTTTGAACTTTTTTATGGGTTCTTAGTTGCCTTTCTACTGTATATTTATTTTGTTTCTCTTTAGAAAAACTTGGTGCTGTTGTCAATAAATGCAGAATGTAGAATAAATCATAATTATGCAGGACAATTATATTTTGTCCTGCATTTATGCGCCGTATCGTTAATTATGAGTGATTTAATCTTAGCTTAATTTTGATAACCAATCAAAATTTATGACTTGTAAACTTGTGATAATTGTATGAATGATTCGTAAACTAATTCATCGGTAATTTTGGGTTACAGAGTTTATGTCATTTTTGAAGAAATTATTGAGAACGAATCTCAGTATCTTATGGATTTATATAATTCATGTATGAATGTGGTATGGAAGGGAGAAATAGTCCTCCGAAAATGTGCGTTGACCAACTACTCATCTCTGAAAAAATACTACAGTTACAGAACCAACTAATAAACCTTGGTGTATGGAACGGATTGACAGGCGATGACATGGAATGAAAAATGAAATTCGAGACAGGATCGTGGAATGTCAGAATTCTGAATAAACCTGGTGCGCAGAAAAAACCTACTAAATGTAAAATGTAAGTGTCTAAATATAAAATCATGGTTGCGGTAATTCAAGAAACCAAATAACTAGGTAATGAGATTGAAGATACAAGAATATCAACTATTTTACAAAGTGGTATTCCAACTTGCAGGAAAGAGCTGGGAGTGGCAGTCATAGTGAAAAAAATTAAAATAAAATGCAATAAGTTATTGTGCTACTAAAAAAAAAGGCCTAGAAGAAAAATAAAATGTTTTATCAACATCTAGATACTGCACAGAATCAGTCACAAAAATAACATAAAAATAGTGATCAGGAACATGAATGCCCAGATTAAAAAGAAACAGCATATATGGTATGGCAGAACAATAGGTAAACATGGTGCAACTAATGTAACTTGAAGTCTAATAATAGACTTCGCTGCTAGCAAAGGAATGGTCACAGGCTTATTTCTTTCCCTAACAAGACATTCATAAGGCCACATGCTCCCCCTAATGGCTAAACAACCAATCAGATAGATCATAAATATATCAGATAGGAGAAAAGTAAAAACTCAAAGATAAACAAATTAAACCCGGAGAATCCTTCACCAAAAAATTACATAAAAATAGTGATCAGGGACATGAACGCCCAGATTGAAAAAGCAACCGCTTATATGGGAACAATATGCAACTAATGTAACTTGAAGTCCAATAATAGACTTCGCTGCTATCAAGAGAATGGCCACAGGCTTATTTCTTTCCCTAACAAGACATTCATAAGGCCACAAGCTTTCCTCTAATGGCTAAATAACCAACTAGATAGATACCAGATAGATAACCAACCATAAATATATCAGATAGGAGAAGAAAAACTCAAAGATGAGCAAATTAAACCTGGAGAATAGGAAAAATGCCAAACAAGAAACGCGATTGCGACAAGCATAGAAACGAGAATTCCTAGAAAAGAAAGTATTTTCTAGGCTTATCGAAGCCTAGAAGAGTTGTATGTTTATCAGACAACCAAGGTAATCCACTACTAAGTGTGGAGAAAAGACTAGACACTTGAAAGAAATATGTGGAAGTAACATTTGCAGATGAGAGGCCCTTATGGATGAATAAGGAATAAAATAGATTAATAAATGGAACGACTATATTTAACAAAATCCATATAACTGGAAATATTCCCAAAAGTTGGTTAAAATCGATCTTCGTAACTATACCAAAAAAAATTAAATGTAAAATCATCCCAAGACTCCAGAATAATTAGCGCAATGAGCCACTTCCTTAAAATGTTTTTAAAAGTGATATATAACAGAATATATAAAAAATGTGAAGTGTCATGGACACAATTTGGATTCCGCGATACCCTAGGATTCTTTCTAGGTTATAGGTTCCTTATATATATATATATATATATATATAATATATATATATATTATATATTATACATATATATATATATATATATTATATATATATATTTATTTATATATATATATATATATATATATATTTGTATATATATATATATATATATATATATTTGTATATATATATATATATATATATATATATATAATATAAGTGATAGTAGTTGTAGTCGTAAGCTATTAAAGGGGAAAGGCGCAAAACGTCGCCTGTCAAAATGTTCAATGTGTTTTAAATGTATCGATTTTTTTTCAAATCCTGAGAAAACTAAAAAGCCTTTTTGGAAAAATTTAAAGGCAGAATAAAATATTTATTAGAATAAATAAAAAGTTTCTTTTGCATGCAATATTTTCAATTAAAAATTATACTATATTCTCTCTTTTATTTTCACCTCTGATGCATAACATAATAAAATAAACATTGTAGAAGTTTTCAGGGACTTTCTGTAATATACATCAGTATACACATATATAATACCCTCAGTAATAATGTAATCTTTCATTCAAATTTTTCAAAAATATTTACTAGTTTTCTCCGAATTCGAAAATAATTTATACATTTAAAACACATTTGGTGCCTTTCCCCTTAATTAAATAAATGTATCTTTTACAAATGGCAAAAAACTTTATTTTTGAATAAAATATTTTATTTTATTATTAAAATATTAAGTTTTATTAAAACAAAAATACAATTTAAAAAATATATTTATTTAGTTCAAATAAATGTTTCAATCATATACTCTACGACACTGGTCGGCCAAAATACGTTCCTAATCGGATTATAAGCTTGACCGCTGTATTGTATTCCGGCAGATACAAGGTGGGTTAGTCGAAAACATCTTAAATCGTCAGTTTCAAGTTGGTTTTTACTATTATATCGTATTACATATCCTCTCTGTATTTCAGTTCTCTAATTAGGATTAAACTTGTAGTGAGCTATCGACAAATTATGAACCGAGTATAGTAATAACTTTTCTATGGATGTTTGGTTTTTTATACTGTTCTTTTTAGATAAACTTTCTAATGAAGCTTTCTGATTAGAAAGCGAAACGTCTTCAATAAATAGATGAAGTAGCCGCCTTTTTGTCTTTTTTCTCCACCTTTTGACCGAAAAGCCCACCACTCTTCAAGTGATCCTTTATTTATATATATATATATATATATATATATATATATATATATATATATATATGTATATATATATATATAATAAAATAATAAAAAAGTAGATATACACAAACGAAAATAATGTAATTCTCTGTACTTGAGAAAACTTTTTTACCAAGTTCTTAATATGTAAACATTTACCTATGTCCTAATTATTATCAGGCTGAACGACCGACGTTAACCTAATAACATTTATTGATTGCATTAAGAATTCAATAACTTATGAATCACCCCTTATTAATTAATTACAAAGCACTTGAAAAATTGTCGAAATATTTTGTGAGTCATCAATTTTATTACACAAAGTAGTCCGTCCTTCGGCATTGTTTGTATTTGGGCTTCCAAGAAAAAGAATACAAACTATACAGATAAACTAATATTAAAAGTCACACCACTCAAAACTAATACGTATACTGAATAAGATTTGTTATGAATTTTACTATTAAATTATTAAAACTAATGAAACCTAATCAAACCTTATTAAGACATTACTTTTATATATTTAAAGTATTCTACTCTAAATTTAAAAGCCTTTTTTTATAAATACGAAAGATATTGTCACAAACTGTTTGAATAAAATTAATAGCATAATTGATGGAAAAAGATATTGCACAAGTAAAAAGA